GGGGTTAGTAGAGGGTTAAATAACGGGGGTTGGTAGAGGGCTAAATAACGGGGGTTGGTAGAGGGTTAAATAATGGGGGTTGGTAGAGGGTTAAATAACGGGGGTTAGTAGAGGGTTAAATAATGGGGGCTGGTAGAGGGTTAAATGACGAGGGTTAGTAGAGGGTTAAATAATGGGGGCTGGTAGAGGGTTAAATAATGGGGGTTGGTAGAGGGTTAAATAACGGGGGTTAGTAGAGGGTTAAATAACGGGGGTTAGTAGAGGGTTAAATAATGGGGGTTGGTAGAGGGTTAAATAATGGGGGTTGGTAGAGGGTTAAATAATGGGGGTTGGTAGAGGGTTAAATAATGGGGGTTGGTAGAGGGTTAAATAATGGGGGCTGGTAGAAGGTTAAATGATGGGGGCTGGTAAAGGGTTAAATAATGGGGTTGGTAGAGGGTTAAATAACGAGGGTTGGTAGAGCGTTAAATGATGGGGTTGGTAGAGGGTTAAATAATGGGGGCTGGTAGAGGGTTAAATAATGGGGGCTGGTAGAGGGTTAAATAATGGGGGCTGGTAGAGGGTTAAATAATGGGGGCTGGTAGAGGGTTAAATAATGGGGTTGGTAGCGGGTTAAATGACGAGGGTTCGTAGAGGGTTAAATAATGATGGTTGGTAGAGGGTTAAATAATGGGGGCTGGTAGAGGGTTAAATAACGAGGGTTCGTAGAGGTAAAAATAATGGGGGTTGGTAGAGGGTTAAATGACGAGGGTTGGTAGAGGGTTAAATAATGGGGGTTGGTAGAGGGTTAAATAATGGGGGTTGGTAGAGGGCTAAATAACGGGGGTTGGTAGAGGGTTAAATAATGGGGGTTGGTAGAGGGTTAAATGACGAGGGTTGGTAGCGGGTTAAATAATGGGGGTTGGTAGAGGGCTAAATAATTGGGGCTGGTAGAGGGTTAAATAATGGGGGTTGGTAGAGGGTTAAATAATGGGGGCTGGTAGAGGGTTAAATAATGGGGGCTGGTAGAGGGTTAAATAATGGGGGTTGGTAGAGGGTTAAATAACGGGGGTTAGTAGAGGGTTAAATAATGGGGGTTAGTAGAGGGTTAAATAATGGGGGTTGGTAGAGGGTTAAATAATGGGGGTTGGTAGAGGGTTAAATAATGGGGGTTGGTAGAGGGTTAAATAATGGGGGTTGGTAGAGGGTTAAATAATGGGGGCTGGTAGAAGGTTAAATAATGGGGTTGGTAGAGGGTTAAATAACGAGGGTTGGTAGAGCGTTAAATGATGTGGTTGGTAGAGGGTTAAATAATGGGGGCTGGTAGAGGGTTAAATAATGGCGGCTGGTAGAGGGTTAAATAATGGGGTTGGTAGAGGGTTAAATAACGAGGATTGGTAGAGGATTAAATAATGGGGGTTAATAGAGTGACTTCTTTCTCCGGGGAGGGGGGGGGAAAGATGCCTCAAACAAACTCTGGCGTCCACAAAAGTCGTTTTTTTCGGACCCCCCCCCCCTCCCGGGTCGGCGTGGTCGAGTCGGTAAAGCTCATGGTTGCTAAACCGAAAAGTCTCGAGTTCGAACCCTCGGGCAGATGAGACAACTCCAAAATTAAACAACTGCTGCCTTGTAGTTTGTTCTTGATTGGACAAAGGCTATGGAAGCAAATCCAAAAAGAAAAGCAGGCTGAAATCGGAGTCAATGGCCTCAATGGCTCATAACCAGTTGACACGTAACGCTTGTGTTGGAGGCGTGGTCGAGTCGTCAAAAAGCTCATCATTGATAAATTCGAACAAAGTCTCGAGTTCAAACGCACTGGCAGATAAATCTCGATCCCCTTCAACACTAATAATTAAGAACGAAGAAGAAGAAGAAAAGAATGACCCCCCCTCCACGTGTTGACGTCATAAATGGATGAGCATTAACTGTGATCAGCTGGTTATACCCTTAGGTTCAATTAGAAAACACCGTGTCGAAGATTTGATCATGACCCAAACCTGTCCTTTTGATGATAAGCTAATATTTTAGCGTCCTGTGTGTCACTTTTTTCCTGTGCTGTGTATGTGTATGGCCTGCCTATGTGTTTACTGAAACACAATTCGTTTGGTAATACTTTTTAGCGCAATTTCCATACTGGCAATTGCGTTTAATAATTCGTCATTTCTGGATGGATGGATGGATGGATGTATGGATGTGTGTCCGCAGCTTTAAGTCGTATCTCCTCCTCAACGAAGCAATATCGAGGACTAGTTACAAAAGAAAATATGTTAAGCAAGTTCTGAGGATGATTGTGGGCCAAAAAAATTCCCGGAATTCTTTCCTGGATTTCCCGGAAAAGCCAAAAAACCTCGAAAATTGCAGTTTTTGGCCCATATCTCGGCAACCAGACCACTTAGCGACTTAAAACATTTACCAATCGATTCCTGCCATAATTTAGAACAATATTGCCAAAGAAAGTTTTCAAAAATATCCTTTCGTTCGGTCACAAATTGTTTTTAAAAATTACATAAACACCTACAAACCGATCGTTCTCCTAGCTTGAACGCACCCCAGCATTATACGTCTTGTGTTTTGTCCCCGTGTGTGCTTTACGCTACGACAGAGCTGCGGGTTATGAACATAATACACTACAGTACTATATAGCAATATATAGATATAGATCTATGGGGAAAGGGATGTGTCAAAATAATCTATTTTTCGCTGTCTTTTAGATCTTGCTATAAGTTTATTTTTTACTTATTAATTCAAACGTTATTTTTGTACCCTATTAATTAATTTATAATTTATATGAGAGTGATAGGGAGTTACAATTACAAGGTTTTGTTTCGCTAGGCCTAATCATTTTTTTCACATTTAAAAAAAACAAACTTGATCACTATCTATTTTTAGATAACATAAGGAAATTGCGCTTAAATTGTCACTAGACTTTTTATTAACTTGTTTAATTCGCGTGGTCGATTCACGGGTTATTAACAAAGACTATCCTCCTAGAATCACACAACATGTTGCCGCTCTTTTTTAATCCTGAATTATACTCGAAGTCCTCTTTTTGCAGTATCACCGATGTGTAAATTAATTTAGTTATTCGCGTTACGAACCGGGATAGTTCTAAATCCCGAACATAATTTTCTTCAATGCAAGATACGCATGCGATACGCATGCGCAATGGAGAGAAACTACGACTTGCCTTAGCGGCGATGTTTTCGATGGTACTGCGCATGCGTGTGTTTACAACCGCAGAACCCTAACAGCAACCCTAATCCTATCCTTAACCCTATCCCTAATCCTAACCCTAACCCTAGCCCTAATCCTATCCCTAATCCTATCCCTAACCCTAGCCCTAATCCTATCCCTAACCCTATCCCTAATCCTACCCCTAACCCTCATTCTAGCCCTAACCCTAGCCATAGGTCACTGCGCATGCGTAGAGCTATCTATTGCCGACTAAGTGGAAACGTTGGGGAGAAAAATCTTCTTCCGAGTAGACACTTCGTTTTTATTATTACCAAGATTGTTAATATTAAAATTGTTCCTTTTGATAAGTAAAATAAATCTGTTTAGTAGGTTTGTGTAAATTTGGCTGCTAATTATTCACGTGATGTTTGCGACCAATCCCTGAGCGCCGAGTTCCTAACCTCCGTATACCTCAAAGTCGGTGTAAATCTAGCTAGGTTCTATACGGGGGGGGGGGGGGGGGGGGGGGGGGGGAGGGGGGGGGGGAAGTTGCTGGGGTCCCGGTAAAAAGCTGACAGATCATGGACCAGTTGAGATAGTCCATCTATTGCTGTGACCTTCCTGTGAAGGGTTTCTTTCAGATTTTTTCCCCGCGATTGCTGACGGACGCTGGTAAAAAGTCTTTCGTATAATATCCTATAAAACTATGTTTTCATTTCGGAGGGGGGGGGGGGAGAATCGGGAAACACTACCACTCGAGACCTCGAGACCCACGGGCTAGCAGGCACCACCCCACCCCACCCCCTCCAAGAGATGTTCGAAGGTAATTCTTTGCGGTGCGGTTAGCACCATGTCCAGCTATGCCCAGCTATGTCCAGCTATGTCCAGCCGCCTTCACGTGCGTCATGTGAGCCATCAGAACATTCTGGACGCAAGGGCGTGCTACAGACTCAAGCCAGGGATCCGAACCCGTGTCATCTGGGTTAGCAGTTTACTAACCACGCCGTCCCACTCCAGGTATGGTGGGATGAAACACAGATCCGAACCCGTGTCATCTGGGTTAGCAGTTTGCTAACCACGCCGTCCCACTCCAGGTATGGCGTGATGAGACACAGGACTGTAATATGGTGTATCTCATAACACATAAGCCATACACATCTATGAGCTTTGTTATGGGGAAACTGCTGGGAACGGAAATTTTTAAATATTTATTTGGGAACACAAAGGTTATTGCTTTTTAATTAATTCATTTAGTTAGTTGAATGTTTTTGTTAAGGCTCTGTTTTGGGGTAGTAATAAGTTTGATTCAAATTAATTTTGGAAGATTTATGTAAAGTGTAATGTTTATGTAGGGTTAGGCTGGTTCATTAGGTGCTCTAGCAATCACTTTCACTCATCGAATGATTGGACGCTTTGCTCAAATGTGGTGTCACCCCAATATTTAATTCTTATCAGTAAAAAATACATTGTTTACATGTCGCGATTAGTTCCAACCCCCTCTTTTTGTGAAGGCGTATATTTGTAAATATTTTTATATTAATCCACCTGGATGAGGCATCGTCTTCTTAGACCGTTTATACTTAAAAGAGCACTTAAATCTTATTAATCATTACATAAAAAAAAAAAGAAAAAGCGTTTTTCTTTATATTTTGCAATTTTTTCGCCTTGGCGTCGCCCCTTAAAATGGTGTCAACCGGTGCGATTCGCACCCCTCGCACCCCTCTAGTGACGCCACCACCCACCCCCTTCCCACGCTTGTGCAATGACGTCGTACTGATGTGTATGTGGGTATGTATGGGCAGCTCACGAGGCGCACAAATCAGCAGAGGCTATCGCTTGTGTCGGCGATTCCATATAGACCCCCGAGTAGACGGGAGCGATTCCATACAGACGACTATTAATTACTTCATGAAAAACATTTTTAACACCAAGTGTAAGGTTGCTGTTGTTATGGATTTTATGTACGTTGTGTGCACGTGAGGTTTCGGTGCAAGAAGTATCAGCGGCGTTTTCTGAGTGAGCACATTCAAAAATCTATCAATATTAAGTGTTCGTTGAGGTTTGAACTGTGATTAAAATCTAACGAGTCAAACCGCAGACGACAAAATGAATGCGAGAACTGACGTCAACGAGACCGCGAAAAGGCGGTTCGCCTTCCAGAAAGCTTTCAGTCAAGAGGTAGGTTTAAAATTTGTTCAAAAATTTGTTTTATTCAAGAAGTAAGTTCAAACTTTCTTTTAAAGTTATTGCATTTTTATCGAACTTAATACCGAAATAATAAAATAAAAGGTGTTACGTTTCTAACTTGTTTTGTTCCTCGTGAATTTTAACATTTTAAGTTTATGTTTACATTGTACTGTTGGATTCAAATTTTCTATGAAACATTTGAAATATTCGCCGACATGTTTCCACTGATAGTTCGAGCAGTATAATTCAGATGTCATGGATCATAAAACCTGGGACACCACAACACAGTTGGATCACAAATTCTTTCTAGTATCTTCCCTTAATATATTACCGATTCAATAAGTTTAAGCTTTATTGTCTAAAACCACATCTGTGTATTATTACAAGTGAGGATTAAACCTGTCAATAATTAAAAGTTTATTGTTTAATTTAGATTTAAAAAATACCCACACTCCACCAAAAAAAATAAAAAAAAAGTAATATGATTCCATAAACAATTTTAAAAAATCAAAATATTTAGTTAATATTAAATATCGATTGAAAATACGTCAAACATGAAAATAAATAAGAATGCATTAAAAAAGGGATATTTTTCTGACTTTGGTGTGTGTATAACCATTATAAGTAACAGTTAATAAAAAATAAATAAATTACATGTCTATACCTTTGTAAATTAAATCAGAGACGTATTAAATTAGAATGGGGCCCCTTGCCAAAAAAATTCAGGGACGCTGCTACTGTTACGACACTTGAACAGTTGTAGCAGCTAGTCAGTTATGGGCAGTGACGTCACAAGGTCGGGTGTCGATCGGCGCGGTAACTCAGAGTGTCATCCCCCCCCCCCCCCCCCCCCCTCCTCGAAAAAGTTTACATTTTCGATATGTTTTTTCCTCCCTTCAATATCTATTCAATTATTTTACACGATAAACCATTATTTTGAAGGTAAATATTCAGATTTTACAGAATAAACCATTGATTTGTAGGTAAATATTCAATTGTTTTTACAGGATAAATCATTATTTTGTAGGCAAATGTTCACATATTGCTTTTTCTATTACATAAAAACATTCAACAATAAATATTACTTACGCTTTCCAGATAGCCTATTTACATACATCTATACAGTCAATGTGGAATCAAGCAGATATTTGGTCAATTCTGTCACACGCAAATATTTGGTCCAATTTGATTACAATAACACTTTTTATGCTTGTATTAATCTACCACATTGTGAGGCTGGTGTTTTTTACAAACTGTCCCGTTTCTGTTTGACTCTAGCAGATGGCGCTAGCTGCAGTTTATTACAAAATGTCCTGTTTATGTTTGACTCTAGCATATAGCGCTAGATATTGTTTGTTACAAAATGACCTGTTTATGTTTGACTCTAGCAGATGTTGCTAGATAGTGTTTGTTACAAACTGTCCTGTTTATGTTTGACTCTAGCATATAGCGCTAGATATTGTTTGTTACAAAATGACCTGTTTATGTTTGACTCTAGCAGATGTTGCTAGATAGTGTTTGTTACAAACTGACCTGTTTATGTTTGACTCTAGCACGGCGGGTGGCGAAAGAAAAGTCTGATCGCTGACGCCAAGTTTGAGACCGCGGCCAACAAGGAGTTCAAGAAACAGGAGCGGCGCCTGAGCAAAACAGACTCCATCGGGGACGAGGAAGGTTTCGCCCCTGGACTTCTACCTGACGCGTTCCCAGACGACTTCGCGGCCTTCAACTTGCTGGTGACGTTACGGGAGGGGACGGTCAGCCTAGCCAAGGTCATCCGGTGTTTTGAGGTAGATTTTTTTTTTAAAGTCCAATGTTAATGTGTGACAGGCGAGAGAAGAACTTTTCAATCCCTTTTGCCACAGTCATTTCCTGTGGGGCATTGAGGGGTGGGGGTGGGGATTAAGGGACGGGCTGGCCAGGCAGCAGTCGGGGGCCCTAAAACGTCAAGTCATTTGAGCTGATTTTCTGCTGTATATTAATTTTGATTATATATTATATCATACAGATTGACATAAATTGTACTCACACCTACACTACCTAACGTTATTAACTAATATCCACAAAGACCACACCACAAGTTATACAAGATTTCCATGTATACATATATTTAAATATATAAGGATGGCGAAGTCGTAAGCTGGTATTATATTTGCATAAAGTACTTAGATTACTCCAAGGTAAGGTAGAAACCTAAACTAGGTTAAGAAAAATACTTTTACCCACACATCATTTATACTGTGAAATTTTGTTGAGCCTTATTGCGAGGAGCCCAAATGTCGGATCTCTACCATCCGATGTAAAGAGCCTCTGTGTTGTTTCAGTGTTACACCATGTGCCTGTGAAAACGATTAAATATTAACTTTGAACATCGTTGTCAGCAGCAGTGGAGGCTATGACAAACACATTGTGTGTAGATCATCAACTTTGTGTGAAAAGGTGTGTTCGTCTGTGGTTCTGTAGAGTTCTAGAACAATAATGTGTGTGTGTGTGTGTGTGGGGGGGGGGGTGATGGAATCAGAGTGGGAAGGGGGAGGGTGGGGTAATCCAGAATCTCCGTTAAAATGCAGGTTGACATGACACCATTAGTCAGCTATGTTGGAACCGTTTCATCCCATGGCGTAGGAATTCCAATAATTACAGCCGAAAATAGAACTCATCCGACCAGTAAAATAGTGCGGTTAATTGTTTTATTCATTAGAAACAATCGTTAATCAACGTGGTCAATAAGGCCAAGTATTTAATTAGAGTTTAGGTATGCTTGGGTGATGGAGGTTCGGTGTCTGTTGAAATGAGGTAATCTCTTGCGTCATTAGCATAAGCACAGCAGGGGTTAACAGGGTCTGTTTGCGCTGCTATAGAGGTGGGTAGTAAGGGGTTAATAGCAGCACAGAGGTGCCCGGGGGAGGGGTGTCTCATGGGGTGTGTATATAAGGGGGGATTGGAGTTGGCGGGATGCATTGCATGATTGTGGTGAGGTTATGGTATTCGTGTGCTTATGTTAAAGTTATTGAAGTTTAATGATTGTGATCATTGCGTTATTGTGGTTGTGGATTTTTGTCAAAGTGATTGGGGTCGTATGGTTGTGATTGGATTGTTATGCTTGTGAAGTAAGCGGTCCTGGAAATTTTCCAGAGGAAGGGCGTGGGATCGGAAAGTTGCAAGGTGAAATTGAATTAAAAATGAAATCAACGAAACAATCGCTTGAGTTGAAGCATTGCCCCTGCAATCAGCGAGAGTTAAATATATAGGGACTTGTTCGACAGACAACTGGCTGGATTATTGAAACAAAAATATATTTACAAAGGCGTCAAACTTTTGTTGGATTGGGCCAACACACTCATAGATTTGATGAATGAATGGATGACTGAATGAATGATTTACTCGTGGTATCAGTAATCGAACTTCTACCCTGTCGCAGAGGATCGATACTTCTCCCGTCAAGCGCGCCAGTATTGATACAGGCTGTAAGCGTTAAAATATTGAAATATTTTATAAAATCAAGGTAAACACATGACGATCGATGAGAAATCGATTACATGGATCGCTCTGTTCAAAAACATCAATCGACGTTTAAGTACAATATTTAGTTTGGAAGAGAGACATGATTGATCAGTGTTTTAATCACAAGTCATAGTGACTGATATAATCACAAGTCACAGTGACTGATATAATCACAAGTCATAGTGACTGATATAATCTCAAGTCATAGTGACTGATATAATCACAAGTCACAGTGACTGATATAATCACAAGTCATAGTGACTGATATAATAACAAGTCATAGTGACTGATATAATAACAAGTCATAGTGACTGATATAATCACAAGTCACAGTGACTGATATAATCACAAGTCATAGTGACTGATATAATAACAAGTCATAGTGACTGATATAATCACAAGTCACAGTGACTGATATAATCGCAAGTCACAGCGACTGATATAATCACAAGTCACAGTGACTGATATAATCACAAGTCACATTGACTGATATAATCACAAGTCACATTGACTGATATTTATGAACAGTCATACATGCAATGTCAGTCAATTCAGCACTGGTAAATCAGTGCTCCACTGGTCAGTTAATTCGGTGACTTAAATTACTTGACTTAGTCCTCGTTGCTAAACGTAGAGCGTAGGTCCTCACCATTACGTTCTATTGCGTGTATTTTTCCCTCTCCAAAGACAACAATGCGATCTTTAGTTCTCCGAGAATACTCAGCCTCCAGGTCTGTCTAGGGCGTCCTCTCTTTCTCCTTCCATGTGGGTTCCACTCAAACGCCTGACGTGGACAATTTCTCCAAACATTTCGCAAGCCGAAAATTGCAATCATAGAAAAATGTGAATGTTGCAAACAGAAAAACACGCAAAGACTAATGTTTGCACGAAGAAAAATTCGAACATAAAATACATATCATACACAGATAGCTCAACATAGAGAACTTTGGCAAATATGTGTTTGAAAGACAAATATAAACTTAATAGTAATGTGCGCATTTTTCTGTGTGCAGTTTGTTTTTCGCTTTGCGCATTTTCTGTGTGCACAGTTTTCTCTTTGCGCATTTTTCTTTGTGCCCTCATCTCTTTTTTTTTTTTTTGCATTTTTTGTGTTCCCGAATTTCTGAGCTCATACTTTCTGTTGCGCAATATTTATGGTGCGCATTTTTCCGTTGCGCATTTTTCTGGGACCCACCCCTCCAATTGTCGAGTGGTTTCAACCAAACCACACACTGTAACACTGTAGATCAGCTATGATGATTGTCCATACCAATTTGTTTGGTTACCTACAATCTATCTGGGCACTTATAGAATCAGTGTTAGCTTCACATGTGTCTCATTTAATCTAATGGTGTTAAATTGGTTTGGTTGAGTGGAGTGTCTTTTAAAAATATAACGTCATGCTTACTATAAAAATAAACACGTACTTTTTGCTAGTTACCAATAAGAGAGTATTTGTAAGAATCAATTTTATACGAACAATGCTTATGACGTCATCAGTTTATGAGCACAGTGTCTTGGGGTATACACCTATACACTGAGAAGTTTCCACAAGGACTGAGACCACTGTAGGTCATGTGTTGTTTAACGTCATCGTTTGAACCTTCGCTACCAAATGTAAACTCACGGCTTTTAGCAGCCACGTGTCAGTCACATGGCTGTCACTTGACAGTCACGTGACACTAACGCTGACGTCTGCCTAGTGTTGTCGGGTCACCCACTAACACGGCGAGTACCGTCTGCTGTGTTACAGTTATATGAACAGCTTAGACCGAACACCCACTTCCATCTCAATGTGTTGAAATATGTGTTAGTTTTCATGTAGGACATTTTTATATTGAAAAACAAAACGTCAAAAACAAAAATGGACAACTTTTAAAACCCAGTAAACATGGAATTGTGACCTAGGCTAAACAAAATTTAAGGTCGACCTTAAACTGACATGGCACACGACCTTGACCTTTAACCTTTTCTCCATAATCTTCTTTCAATTGGTTAGCTGAAACCAATTCTATTTTTATTTAAAAAAAAACAAACAACGAATACAATTTTTTCCGAATCAAACCAATTTTTATTGACCTCGGTTGATTTGTTACTCCTGTCTCAGGAAGCTGGCCAATTGATCCTCTTCCTAGTTTTTATTTTACAAACAGAAATTAAAAAAAAAGTTTCCGCCATTAGTTTTGTGTTTGGTTTTGTGAAGCGACGAATGAATCGCTCACTCATAGCGCTACACAGTCGTGACGTCACGGAAACAAATCGCCGTCCGATCGTTTCTGCGAGCGTTAATTAAATTAATTAAATTAATTAAATTAATGATGAATTATGTTGACCCCGGGCGTTAAATACCCGCCATTATCTCAGTCCTATTTATAGCATGCGCTATAATCACCTTTTCAAGTCTGCCGTCTGCTAATGTGAGATTTTTCTGGTAATTGTTGAACTTCTGCAGCGTTAAAATAGAACAAATTAACGCGGTAATTAACTGAACAATGTGATATATTTTTAACAATTTTTTGTGTGAAGAGTTCTCTAAGAAGGTCAGACCATGGTTTATCCCCCTTCCCCCGTCTATTGGACAGTGGGGAATACATCACAGCAGGTGGGACAACTCTGTGTCGCAGACATGAGCAATTATACGTAGATCGTTGCTAAGGAACAGAAAATATTTACATAGATCTGGGCAATAGAACAATAATACACACACATCTTTACTGTGCTATAGACCAGTTACAGATCATTACTAAAACAAAAATCTAGAGATGGTTCTTAGAAGAATTTTGTGACGTTGTTAAGGCACAATTTTAGAAAATTGGCCAAACAAATATTATAAACAGCTGAAAATAATAGCATGGAACGTGAATTACATGCAAGTCAAGTTTAAAGTCACAACACGTTTATAAGAATCTTAATAACAACAAGCTTTCGAATTCGCTCTAAATAGTAATGTATACGTATATTTTACTGGGCAATAATTTTCAAGGGTGATTCGCTAAACATTGATTGCTCAGGTAACGCTGTTAATGTAAAGAGAATGTACGTGAATTTAAAAAATTCAGTCTATTTTAAAGCCAGTTTAAAAAAAGAAACATATTTCTGTTCGCCTTTAAAATACTTTTTCTATCCAGATGTTGTAAAGAGTGAGACAATAATTACATTTTGAAAACACTTTTTTGCCACAGTGCATTTGTTCTTTCCAAAAATCGTTGTCGAGTCGACCCCCTTGTGACTAAAACAAAATTCCAGACCATCCAATTCTAGTCTAAGGGTTTCGTTTTTCAACTTT